AAATCATGGGAAAAGTATGCAAGAAAAACACTTAGGTGAACCAGACTCCATTACATTTATAATTTTGAATAACCATAAACTCAAGATAGAGTGAGAATTCAGATCAGTACATTTCTTAGATAAGGATGTACACAATCATTAACCTCCCCTGGGCACCATGTATTGATCCTACTGTTTCACAATAAGATCATTTAAATATTTACACAGGCTACAGGTAGACACAGCCACAAGTCCACAATATTCCTATGGTCCCAGTTCATGTTCAGATCATTCAACTTCTGTACAGTACTTCACTCCAGAGAGGAAGAGGGTGAGTTATTCTATATATAAGTCCTGTAGTGTAATGGTTAGCGCACTGACCACGCAAGTGAGAGGGCCCGACGTTCCATTCAAGGGCGGGACAAACTCTTAGGCTAGTTTCCTTACTCCACATGCCTGTTTACCTAGCAATAAGTAGGAACCTGGTTTTTAGTTGATTGGTGAATCACTTTTCCCGGAGTAATAATCCTTTCAAAGAATATTTTTTTTAAAATAATAATGTGGTCACTCAATCCACAATTGTTTGTGGGACACTGTTGTGCGCAATTGGCTAACGCTTTTCACCCACAAAATATACAGTCACTCCACTTTACAATATATTCTGTGAAGAGCTTTGAGACGTCTCGAAGACGTGATAAGGCCCTATATCAAATGCAAGGATTATTATTATATGAACGACCAAGTGTAGGCCAGGCATGATGAGATGCACCAAACAATCGATCATCTGGGTCACTCAACTATATGCAATCAGGTTTTCAGTCCAATTTTTTTTCAGCTAGGGAAGATACAGCAAAATGTTTACAAAAGTAAACTTCCCCTTTAAATGCTCATGGAATTCAATTGTGTTTTAACAACTGACTATAGATAGAGCATTTACAGAATCATGCCAGGAAAAATGTAGCATTTTTGAGGTCAGGCTAGTAATGTTTAAGCTTTAAAGTTGAGCACAAAGTACTAATCACAGAAAATATAGGTCCCATTCTAACTGACAATTACTTTCTAGATGAAAACACGATATAAAAATACCACAAGTCAGAAAGTTTTTGCATGAAATTAACTTATTTGCTGTTCAATACATTTTACCCTTTCACATTGCAAAGTAGCTTGGTCAACACATTGTCTCAGTTTTTTTTATTTAAAATGAAATGTAATAAATTTGTTAATTTCAATTTAACTTATGGAAAATTCATAACCAAACATTTTTGATAATTATCCAGACAAAGTACCAGAATGTAGCCATAAACAACAATTCAGGTCCAGTTAACAGTACACATTTTTGAATTTCTTCAAAATTAAACATTAAGATTCAAATTATATACATAATGTATTGCTACACAGTACAGAAACTTTTCATACAAATATTCAAGCTACTTACATTCAAATCATCTCTAATTGAATTTTGACACAAATGCACTTACAAATGTTAGAACATGGTATCCAATTATGGTCAGCCCACATCTGAAAATATTTCATAAAGAAGGTGTAAATGAGATTTACTAGGATGATACCAGGGATGACATAAGAAGACTGTAGGAATTGGGCCTATTTTACTGGAATCAAGAAGGTTGAGGAGGACACCCACTGGAGGTCTTTAAGGAGGCATTAGAGCCTGGCCATTTAGAAGTGAAATCAGGAAACATTGTTTTCATCCGAAGAGTAGTGGAAGTAGTGGAAGTATCTGGAAGTCTCTCCCCCAAAAGGCTGCGGATGCTGGATCCATTCACATTTTCAAGACTGAGGTGGATTACATATTTGTTAGCTCAGGGTATTAAGGAATATGGGGCAACGGCAGGTATCTGGACTTGAGGTACAGATCAGCTATGATCCTATAAAATGGCAGAACAAGCTTGAGGGGCTGAGTGGCCTACTCCTGTTTCTATGTTTAAACCCCCTTATAATTTTAAGAGTCGATGGGGAGACATTATTTTCACTGAGTCAGTGGCTGGAGAGCACCAATTTAAGCTTTAATTTTATTAAAGGAGCAAAAGGGGACATTAGGAGAATATTTTAACACAAAAGTTAGTGTGTGGAGGGGGTAGAGAAAAAGAGCCAACACAGACCTGATGGGCTAAATGATTTGCTTCTGTCCTGTAACCTTTTAATGGTTCTACATCTACACAAGTAATTCTATTAAGAATGGCTCAGACTAATAAACAAGAAGTCAAACAATCTGCAAGCAACTCTCATACATCTCCAAAAACAATAATAAATTGGTCATTTTAAATCTACGACTGTTTGTGGGACATTGCTGTGCGCAATTGGCTGCCGCGTTCGCCCACAAACATACAGTCAATTCACTTTACAGTGTGTTGTTCTGTGAAGCGCTTTGGGACGTCCTTCCGACGTGAAAAGCGCTATATCAAATGCAAGGATTATTATTATTATTATTAAGGAACCAACTCAGAGCAGCATTGGTTAAATAAGACTAAGGTAGTGTGCCACCATGAATAGAGGTGAGTGAGAGCAATTTGTTTTTAAAATCATGATTACTCAAGTCTTGAAGCTAGGACTATTTACTTTAAACACGTTATATATAAAATAAGTGTTTTAAATTTATACATCCACAAACTGTGTAGAGTCCTGTAGCTTAGTGGTTGGAGCTCACGCCTCGCAAGCGAGAGGACCTGGGTCTGATTCTTGGGCAGTGTGAAGCATTGGGCAAGGTTCCTTAGTCCACATGTCTCTGTTTACCTAGCAGTAAGCAGGAACTCGGTTGTTAATCAATTAGCAGATTGCTTTTCCGGGGTTAATAATCCCTTCAAAATAAATAATAATTTGGTCACTCAAATAATTTGGACTATTTTTGGGACGCTGCTGTGTGCAATTGGCTGCCGCATTTCACCCACAAAATATATAGTCAATTCAGTTACAGTGTATTCTGTGAAGGGCTTTGAGACGTCTCAAAGACGTGATAAAGCACTAGATTAAATCCAAGGATTATTATATTATAAATATATATATGCACACACTAAATATTATATAAATAACAAAAGTGACAAACAAAACAGAAGCAGTTATAACACATAGTTGGGACCATATAATTCCTACCCATTTTATAACAGGGTGCAATTGTAGTCCATGCTTCCACAGTTTGACATCACCGATCACTTGACTGGTGACATCAATGCACATGCAGAGAAAGGCAGCAAACTTCCTTAGTACAAAAACAAGACCAAATTCCAGGTCATCGTGTCACCAATGCTACTTCCTGTTCACTGCACATGCACAACAACAACTTGCATTTACATGAACGCTTGACAGTGGCAGAGTCTGACCCTGAGCCCTGGGGAGATGATTATTTAAAAATTTGCCCAAGGTTTCGCCCCGCCTAGGAATCGAACCCGGGTCCTCTTGCTCTCAATACTTCCATTCCTCTCAAATGGAAGTATTCAAACTTATTTCCAATGGAAATAAAAATTCAAGAATTCAACAGAGCTGATATTCATATAACAGGGTCTAGTAATGCACTATTGAGCTAAAAAATTAGAAAAATCTGCACAATTTAGCCATTCAAAAATGACAATGTTTAAGATTACAACACTGCCATGATATCACTGCTATTTTAAAAGCTTTACTCCACAAGGGTTTTTAAGATCTACACTCACAAGGGCTTTTAAGTTACACAATATAGTGCACAGCCAAATCATGAACTCCTACATTGGGAGCAGCATACAAAGCATTTTTTTCCTCAGTACATCAGTTTACACTATTGACCCTGAACTGAGTTTCACCCCCTCCCAGTATGGCTTATTGCCATGCCCGTATTCTGGAACTCTTCCAAATCCACTGCCTTCAAAAGTATCCTAAAAACAAATCTCTTTAACGGTACTTTGTCAGTAAATTAAAATCTTATTCCCACATGTTATACACGACTAGATTTCTAATGCATTTTAAAATGTTAGAAAGGCATGAAGACTGCTTTCTCTATCTCTGGAGCATCGGAGCATTATTAATATTATTATTATGGAACATTATTATTGTTATCCCTTTTTCTATCCCAACTTCACCCGCAGCACAACCAAACACTCACATCATCCATGACCTCCAGACTTGATTTCTCAATCACCCTTCTTGCCAGCCTTCCCAGTTCCTCTTTCCCCACAAGTTCCAGCTCTTCTGAAACTTTATACCCCATATCACCTCCCGAATAAAGCTTCAAGTGCCCATTACACCATCCTTGACAGCTCCACTGGATATCTGTCCCCCAACTTGGAAGATCCTCATACTGACTCAAATGCTCTTGCCCACTTTTCATCCACCATCTCCCACTCCCTCCACCATCGGCGGTAGAGCTTTCAGCACCTACTTTCTGAACCTCCCTCCCGGGAAAACATCTACCTTCCCTCTCCATTTTCAAATCCTTCCCATCCACCATTCTCTTTGACCTCACTTGTTCACCTTTCTCTTATTCCTTTCTATGTTGCTCAGTGGTCCACCAATCCACCAGCCCACTGAAACACTTTGATACATTGTCCAAATTGAAAGACGCTATAGACATTCATGTTGTATATAAAATTAATGTTGTTAATTTGGTTCATAGATATTACCACTTCTGGATTCAACTACTTTTTCTCACCTTTTCTTTCAACCATGACATTAGCGTTGCCAAGGTTTTTCAGAAAATATATGCTGTTCCTTTCCACAAAGGTCAACAACTGGTTACCATCAAGTTATTAGCAAGTAAGCTAATCATTTTCTTATGATTAAACCTAATTTTCATACAAATGGAGCCTCATTAGCAACCTAAAGTAATCGTCTCACTAAATTCACAATTAAAATATCATGTTCCTTTCAAGGCTTATACATATAATTCTAGCTTTAAAAAAGCAATTAAAATAGTTCTGAAACACAACAAGTAAATAGCAAATTGGTTTCCTGTTAACATTACATTTCAACATTCCAGTATCTGCAGTATTTTGCGTTTTGTTCATGTTTAATTCATTGCCACATTTCAACATTACCTGGGAGATATGGTTAATGGAAGACTCCATTCTCCGTAGCTGTGAAGCTTGAATATCCAGCAGTTGCAATACATTATTAGCCAAGGCATTTATCTGGTAAGCGACACTCGCAAGGGACTGGGTGGTATACGCTTTTGTTTCCTCAAGGGCTTTTCTCTTGTCTTGGGCCTGCAAGATAAAAATCATCCTCAAGAGACTGAATTTGCATAGCAGCTACTAAAAAGAAAACTTACTCGTACCTATAAATATAATCAACAGATGCTTTAACTATAAATAAATTCTATTTAACAATAGATCACTTAAACACTACCACTCTGAAGGCAGATGTCCTCCAGATACCTAATGAGTAAACTCAGGCTTGGGGCAGCAGCTGCTGAAACACAACCCAACACAATTACTTGGAGTCCAAGTTCATGAACACAGGAAGCGAGCATGCACAACAGAACCGGGGATCGCAGCTTCATTATAACACAGCTTGAGACTTCTTGGACTCAACTATCACATTATAACGGGGCGATACTATAGCTTCTAGAAAGCATTCAAAAACCATGAAATACAAGCAAAAATTGGTACCTTCACTCACTCTACTGACTCCCATCCCTCAGCGGATGGACTTCAAAATCCTCATCCCCAAGGCCTTCCGTAGCCGTGCCCCTCCTACTTCCATGACTTGCTAACCCCTTATCAACCTGTCCGCTCAGCAGGTTCCGGCCTGCTCCACGTCCCCTGACCGCCTTCGGTAATTGGGCCTTCAGCCCCTCTTTGGAACTCCATTCCACATTCCCTTCTCCTCACTTCCTCAAGGCACAGCTCAAGACCCTCCTTTTCAACCGTTCTTTCGGCTACCCTCCTACCCTCCCCCCCCCCAGCTCAGGTCCAAATCTCTGACTATCCAGCACCTTGGGACGTCTTCCCGATGTGAAAGGCACTATACAAATGTAATTTTGTATTGTATTTTTGTGTTATACAGGTCAAAGGAACTAAAGTAAAGAGGGATGTGTTAAGGCAAGAGTTCAGTGTGGAATAAACAAGCAACACAATAGATTTCAATAAATAATTATTGAAATGGTGTGTAGGGAGATTTTGCAGATAGACAAAAAAAAACTTGGAACAGAAAAGCTATTTTGCACGAGCAAGTGGAAACATAGCTGTTGGAGCAAAACATGAAAATAACCAAGTAAGTTCAATTAGATTTGAGGGGGAGGGAGAGCATACTTGGTGATTGTGGCAGAGACAGAGGGCATTGCTCAGGGAACAGGAATACAAAAATACATATTAAATTGCTTTTGTACCAATCCAAAAAAATATTTTGAAATCAGAGGTGAAGACTGCGAGTGGAAAGATCCACCGGGTCAATTCAACATGCCATTCACCATTTATCAAGCCAACTATGCTGCAGACGTATTCTCAATGCATGAAAGCAAACAACACAGAACGGGACCATTCAGTACATTTTTTGTTTTGGTAAATACATGAAATTGGAATTTCAATATGGCTGCACGTTCATGAGATACCAGCTTTATATGTCTGCTTGGCTCAGTTAGTAGAACTCCTGCCTCCAAGTCAGGAGGTTGTGGTTTCAAGCTCAAAGTCACAACTTTGAACTTGTAATCTAGGCTTACATTCCAGTGCAGTGGATTGTTGGATGCACTTTGAAATGTCCCTCTGACACAATAAGCTACTTAAATAATCATTTCATTTTTGCACCCTTATATTTGACATGTCAAATGAAAGAATTATTTACTAAACAAAAATCGTAAACAGCCAGCAAACCGCTAACTGGAAATGAAATGTTACGTCTCACCCTGACCATTTCCCCCCTCCTCGCTCCCTCCCTTCCCTCCCCTCACCCTGACCATTTCCCCCCTCCTCGCTCCCTCCCTTCCCTCCCCTCACCCTGACCATTTCCCCCCTCCTCGCTCCCTCCCTTCCCTCCCCTCACCCTGACCATTTCCCCCCTGCTCGGGTCATGACCCAACTGTGCAGCGCCTTGGGACGTCCTCCTGACGTGAAAGGCGCTTTATAAATGGAATCTTGTTGTTGTTGTACGTTGGTAAATCAAGTGTCACAGGGCCAGCGAGCAACCACCTACATTCAAAGTCGTGACGTAGGGCTTGAACCCACAACCTTCTAACATGGAGGAGTCTACTTACAGCATACTTCATATTAAGAAATTCTAAATGTATGGATTTAAATTAACCCAATTATTGGTATTGCAGAAATACCAGTCAGAATTATGCAAGGATGGCACTCAAAAGATATGGAATGGTATATATGGGTAGACACCGTCCTTTTAAGTTTAAATTATTAATAGCCAACTAATTCCTTAAAAAAGGTCACTCAATCCACGACTATGTAGGACACTGCTGTGCGCAATTGGTTGCCGGGTTTCGCCCACAAAATAGTCAATTCACTTTACAGTATATTCTGTAAAGTGCTTTGAGACATCTCCAAGACGTGATCAGGCGCTATAATCAAATGCAAGGATGATCAGTATTAAAAGGAGAACATCAGCAAAAGCCATACAATTAATAATACGTTGTATTTATACAGAGTCCTTCATGCAGGGGAGCACATTATAGCTCTTAAAGACATAGTTTGACAGTCGTAGGGACAGTCAAAGAGGAAAGTCTACAGGTACAATGTGAAGACAGGCAAAGGAGGACAAGGCAAAGCCATTGAGGCAAGGAGTTCCAGAGGTCTAGAGACGTTGTGGTTGAAAGTACGCTGCAATGGTTTATGCCGATAATTAAAATTATTAAGGGGAATAAAATGATCAACCTAAAATGAATAGATATTCAGCAAATATGAGAGGATGCAAGTAACTATTGCTAATCATGGCTATCTCAATATCCAAAGCAAAGTACACAGAGAAGCAGAAATCAAAAGGGAGAGTTAAACAATCTCAGAGGTGCTCAGTGACAAGTGATAACACATAAAGCAGGGCAGATTTTTATCAGATTTAGCATTTGGCAGTCCATCAGAACTTTTTTGGTAGCTGGATGTAGGTGAACACTTGTACTTTAATGATCCCTATACAATTTGATTTAACACTGTAAATAAGACCAAAACCAAAAATAACCATAGGGCTAGAGAAGAACTTTAGAGAAACGCTGTATCTATTAAAAAGCCACTGGGGGTGAACGTTGGGGGCAGGTAAAACGAAAAACAGATCTAATGGTAAAGTACAAATAAAATGTTAGATCAGGAAAAGTACACCACTAAATGAATGCTTCACATCAGTCTTCACAAAATAAAGACTGTAGGCAAATTCTGAATCCAGTTATTTCAGCAGAGGATTCTACAAAAGATTTGAAGGTCAATAATGCATCAATTATGAAGAAACACATGATTAATTATATAAAGGGCGCTTGAATCAACTGATATGCAGTCCTAAAAAAATGAAAACTTGCATTCATATAGCACCTTCACACAGGGTAGGGGAGGAGAGAAATCAGCACGGCATTGGGCAATTTATTTCCACTAATTCAGGAGTTGTACCCAAGGCAAATCCATGGCAATATTCAATATTCCTAATCCTAACCCTAATATCCAAGACAGTGAATGATAAACCCATATACTAATGCAATCTTAATTTTTATAATTGGCTGCTGCGCTTCACCAACAAAATTCATAGTCAATCTACTTTACGGTATATCATGTTTAAAGCATTGACACATCCCAACAAAATAAGGCAAGGAATATAAGGAAATGCTCATTCACAAAAAAATCATTTTACAGGACATTACCAATGTTTATCTGAAGAGTGTAGCGGATTAATCAGCAGGGATTTGAAAGCCAAAGGTTGTGTTTCACAATCTCGTGGAGTTCTTCAAAATCACTAGATTTGTTGACAAGTATAACTAAATTTGCATATGCAATTAATACAACAACAACAAGATTCCATGTATAACGCGCCTTTCACGTCAGGAGGACGTCCCAAGGCGCTGCACAGTTGGGTCATGACCCGAGCAGGGGGGAAATGGTCAGGGTGAGGGGAGGGAAGGGAGGGAGCGAGGAGGGGGGAAATGGTCAGGGTGATTGGGGCAGGGGACGTGGAGCAGACCGGAGCCAGAGGAACGGAGGGTACGGGCAGGTAGGGGGATAGTAGGTCGGAGAGGTAGGAGGGAGCAAGGCCGTGAATGGCCTTGTAGGTGAGGATGATCTTGAAATCAATCCTCTGGGGGATGAGGAGCCAGTGGAGGCGAGCGAGGGTGGGAGTGATGTGGTCCCGAAGCCTGGTGCGGGACAGTACACGAGCTGCAGAGTTCTGAATGACCTGCAGCTTGTGGAGGGAGGTGGCGGGAAGGCCGGCGAGGAGAGAGTTCCCATAGTCCAGCCTTGAGGTGACAAAGGCGTGGACCAGGGTTTCAGCCGCGTGAGGGGTGAGGTAATGCCGTAGTCTGGCGATGTTCCGGAGGTGATGGAAGGCGGTGCCAGTTGTGGTGCGGATGTGAGGGAGAAAGGACAGCTCAGGGTCGAACAAAACGCCGAGGTTCCTGACTGGCTTTGAGAGGTGGAGAGTGCAGCCTTGGACGCTGATGGTGTCGGCACCTGAGGTGCGGAGGCGCTGACGTGAGCCAATCAATGCCTTGAAGGTTGAGGTGGGAGGACAAGCGGATAGCGTGGTCGACCGTATCGAATGCTGCCGATAGGTCGAGGAGGACGAGGAGGCAGAGGGAGCCCTGGTCACAGATGGTCAGGATATCATTGGTGACCTTGACCAGGGCAGTTTCTGTGCTATGGGCAGCACGGAAACCTGACTGAAGGGGTTCGAAAAGTGAATGGGTGGAAAGGAAAGAGCGCAGTTGGGAGGCGACAACTCTTTCCAGGACCTTGGAGAGAAAGGGGAGGTTGGAGATGGGCCGGTAGCTTGATAGCTGCGACGCATCAAGGGAGGGTTTTTTCAGGGTGGGCGTGATGGTGGCAGTTTTTAAGGGAATGGGGACAGAGCCAGAGGAGAGGGACAGGTTGACAATGTCGGTGATATGTGGGGCAAGAAAGTGGAGCTGGGAGATAAGGAGTGGAGTGGGGATGGGGTCAAGGGAGCAGGTGGTTGGTTTCAGGGATAGGATGAGTTTGGTGACAGAGGGTGGGGAAACGGGTAGGAAACTGTAGGGGAGGATGGGTAGCAGTCGGAGTGTGGGAGTGAGGGGGTGGGGGGTTGG